CAGGTAGCCCCGGGGAGTACACCTCATTGACGGATAGCCTTCGGCACACATGTAATTGGACCCCCCGGTAACACTTTGACTACTACTCACATTCATCACGCCCTCGATCCCCAGATTGAGGGACTCCCCTTCGGCACCTCCCAGGATATCAACAGCAAGCCTCTGGCTAATCAACACACGCGCCCTCAGAACAAGGATAGCCTTCGGCATCAGCATTGTACTCCATTTCAAACCAGGGCTTCACATTTTCGATTCATCGTTGGGGGAATTCGGTGCACTCTTTTTCCCTCATTAGGATTTTTTCCTATAGGGTTTTTCCTAATGAGGTTTTTAACGAGGCATTCCCCCAAAATGAAACGAAAAGCGTCAGCCTTCGGCCCCATACAGCAACATGATTACTCTACTCCTTTTCACCACTTTGCAAGTACCTCAAGGAGTGGGGGACTGGAGAACCCCCTCGGGAAAAATCACAAAAAGTGCAAAATGCTAAAAATGCCCGCAAACAGCAAAACATGACCCCTCAAGTCCCGACATGTGGGTAACTGAGGGACTGCCCTCGGCAGAATAAATGAACAGCAAACTACTCACAACTCTACAAACTACAACGGAACAACGGCAGAGGACAAACACAACTACTTCTTTTCCCTCAAGTACCTTTCGGCAAAAGGAGTGAGGGACTCCTGATGGAGTATATGGCCCGGGAACCCCCGGCCCACAGACTCTTACTACTCCAATAAAGGCCCAATAGGCCCAGGAAGCACAACGGGCCCAAATCATAGCGCCGAGATTACCAAACGGCCCACAGTGCACACTAGGGGTGCCTTCGGCCCCCTGACCGAAGGCTCCAATTCTCACAGGAGGGTCAAATCAGGAAAACAAAGTTACTGGGAGAAAACGGCGAAAATCAGTAGCCCTCGGCACTAAGGAGGTCCCTGGTACTCAGAGCCCTCAGCTAATCATCTACAGCCGAGGGCACCTTTTCCGACATAATATCCGCTCCACATGCGTATGAATCACCGTACCAGGTACGACGTCACATCCAACAGCCGCATTAAATGCGGCCACATGTGATTGCCAGCACCAACCAGTTGAGGTGACCCCTCGGCCAATGGATGCTTGACACGTGTCCTTGTCTGGCATTTATTACTACTATAAATAGCACCCCATTTCCCCGTTGTAAACCACGCAGAAAACGCTGAATACATTTTCTAATATACTCTCTCTATATACTTACTTGCTCTGACTTCTCTCTAGTTATTCCCCGTAATAACCCCTCGGATAAGCTACCCCCCGGGTATACTATCCATCACAAACAAATTACAAAAAAACAACATACTCTTTTCCAAAACATCAATTAAATTACTATATCATGTTAAATTGGAAATCCATAAAAATACTCATTAAACATTGAGGTACAAAAAATGGAAAAAAAAGTCTTGAATTTCAACAAAAACTTCATTGAGTAATTTCTACAAACATGTTATGGGCATAAAATGAAATAGAGAAATTACACTAAAATTTTAATTAGGTAACACCTCAAAATCATTACAATGAAACAAAATAATCATTTATTCACTTTTATATCATACATAATATACATAAAATCGAAAAAAGGAAAAAATAAAAATAAAAAGGCAGAAGAGGAGAGAAGCAAGAGAAGAAGCTTGGAGGGAGAAAAGATTGTAAAAATGAGAAGACTTAATGGGAAGAGATCTTGAAATGGAGAAGAAATCAAGTTTTGGAGGAAAGAAAAAGAAAGGGGAGGGGATGAGGGGGGGGGCTGCGTGAAAAGAAAAGATGGAGGAGAGAGAGAGGGAAGGAGAAGAAAAGTGGGAGAGGGGGGAAGGGTTTTTGGAAAGAGGGAAAAGGGATGGTAAAAAAGGAGGTATTTATATGGGGTAGGAAATGAGGTAAGTATGGGGTACCTATAGCAAATGGATGGTTAAAATATTTGTTTCTCGTTTGTGTTTCCAAAGCTTGCACTGACTAAAGAAGAAAAATTCAACCATGCACATGCACAACTTCGGAATGTGATTGAACGAACTTATTAGAAAATCTAACATTGATGATAAATACTTCGATGAATGGGATAATGACAATGTAATCAACAATCAAGCACAAGAGGAAGTTGAAGACATTGGAGAGGAAGTACATGGAGCACAATGGGGTACACAAAGAAAATAGTATACAGTGTAATCATAGTATTAGTATGTTCTGGTATATAAATTTTATCTTTCAGAACAAAGAAAGTAAACAGATAATATACATTCAGCACTAGTTACAGGCATGAGGGTTATTTGGTAATTAGACATGATTCAGACTTCTCATTCAGCACACTTAGTAAACAGTTTCTTATCTCAGTGTAACTTAATCCAGACAGACGACTTAATGCAGACAGACATCTTAATCCATTCAGGACTTCATGAGAAAAAAAGTAAACTGCTCCTAAGTCAATTTGTAATCTTTAAAGCTCGCTTTGAATACAAGACATGCTTTAGTCTCTGTTTATGGTGACATATATTCCTCCTTATAACTCATAAATAATTCTAACAACAAAACGATCTACTCACCTCAATTATGCGTGATTTTTGTTTTTGGTCGGAATCGTTCACAAAATCCCCCCTGAGTAGTCAATATTATCTATTTTCAGTATAAATTGTTTTGTAATTTTATTGATAGATTATTCTAATTGATTACTTGTTTGGAATTTTTTCAATCCAGGATTTGAAAGATAGACAAACTATCAATTCAGGACCTGAAAGAAGAAATGTATCGGTATGACTCGAATGATGGAAAACTATCAATCTAGGACCCGAATGATTGAAAACTATCAATTTAGGACCTAAGTTTTCATAAATTTATTATTATTTTTATTTTAGAAAATTTAAATAATATTTAGTTTTATTAAACAAATAAACTTTTGTGAAGAAAATTTCACCAAATACTAGCAATGGAATTAATAAAAAATTAAATAAATCAAAACCTATGAAATGTTAGGTCCTAGATCGATAGTTTTTCATCTTTCGAGTCCTAGATGGATATTATTAAGGACATAATAGGAACTATAGAAAATATGTGGTTGTTTTAATAAAAAGATGGTTGTGAATAGAATTTCTCAAATGTTTAACATCGTCATCAACTCCTAGGGGTGGACTCGGGCCGGGCCAACCGGCCCGGAACCGGACCGGCCCGTTACTGTGCGGGCCCGGACCGGCCCGGTGAACCGGTTGGTTGGCCGGTTCGGGCCACCCGGCCTGGTGGGATCTCGGTTCGGGCTCGGGCCCTTCAAAAGGTGAACCGGCCCGGCCGGTTCGGGCCCAGGTCGGGCCAATTTTTTTTTTTTTTTGAATTTTTTTAAGTTTTTGGGTTGGGCTGGGTATTTTGGGCCATTTGAGGTGGTTAGGGTTGGTTTGGGGTGAGGGGGAGGGTTGGGGGTTAACTAGGAAAAGCCCAAAAAAAAATATAACCGAGGCCCGACCCGGCCCGGCCCGGACCGGGGGTTACCCGGGCCGCTTCCGGGCCTCCCATACCTTGAACCGAGGCCTGGCCGGTTCAAGGCCCGAACCGGGCCCGGCCCGAACCGAGTCCATCCCTATCAACTCCCCATTAGTCCAGCATAGGGGTGGTGGGCAAAAATAACGGAAAATCGATATACCGCACTTACCGTACCGAAAAATACCGGACTATTGGTATACCGTCATTTTTGGTACGGTATCATGCCGTACCGATTTATTTCGGCACGGTAACGGCAAATGATTTCAAATACCGCGGTATAACGGTATAATACTGTACCAACTCCTTACCCAACAATTACTTTTAATTTTAAAAATATTGTAAAAATCCATTACAATTTTGAAGCTCAAAATTAATACTTACCCTTGGTTACAAATCCGTAATGACTAATTAGTAATGTACTATGTCCAAAAACAAGTCCATCTTGTTCCAAGAGCTTGCAAGTCGCGATGGTTGAGTCGCTGAATAGCTGATGAGTGAAGAGGGATGCACTTATGTGACATGTCTACAGTCTACATAGGGATTCCATGAGTCGAGTCACACAACTTTGTTCGAAAGTCTTATTCATTTTTTTTTAAATTATAAAAATGACTAAATACACAATATCATATTAGAAATAAATGATTTTATATCCATCTTGTTTGAAAATTTTATTTATTATGGTTAGAGATCACTATTGATTTAATTATATCTATATTGTTCAAATTATTCTAGCAGAATGTGTTATTTTTTAATACGTGACATGTTGAACTACTTAAATATACTAGTAATAATTATTGTTCAATATTGAATATGAAATCAATAGATTATTAATTGTATTTGTAACATTTTAATAATGGATTAAATTAAATATATCACTAGTAACACCGATTTAGCATATTTCGTTAATCTATAATAATTTGTTGTATTGGAAGACATGCATGATAATTTACTGATACCGTATCGTTACCAACTAAAACTTCAGTATACCGAAACTTCGATAAAGTAATGGTGTATAAATTTTGCATACCGAAAGTTTTGGTACAGCATAGGTATGAGAGAAAATATTCGGTATAACGTACCAGGTCCAGTCTAAGGCCCTAAACCCAAATACCCAATTAATCACGGCCAAATACAGAGTATATCTTTTTGCAACATAAGTTGTAAATTGGTGAACTGTAATTTTCTTTTGAAAGTAATTGTAATTGAGATAATTGCAGTGCAACGCTTAAAATGGAAAGTATACCAAAAAGAATAACTTTGGGACTCCATTATTAGAATATCTTAAATTCTAAATTCTATACCACACACTAGATTAAATTCTAAACCACGCTACTATCAAAATAAAAAAGCTTCTAAAACCACATACATCATATGAAATTATGAATCATCACCTTCAGATCGGCGGATCAATATCATCATCATCAAAATTTGCAAAATTGATGCATCTTTCATTAGAATTAAAAAGAAAACCTAATAAAATTTCGATTTGGAAAATTTCAATTGAGCTCTTCACCAGTGGAAAAAGGACTGTGTGCCACTTTTATTATACTCCGTATTAACATAGTTGGTAATATTAAAAATTAAATTTAAAACCTATAACTTTTTGTTTCTACACCATGATGACATCTCTGGAACTTCTTGAAAACCTAGAACTTTTTGGACAACTGTTTTACATAGACGTATTTCACAGCCATGTTTATCGTGCTTCTGAAAGGCGTGATCGGATGGGCAAAGCACAAATGTCAATTTCTTTGTTAACTCTATAGCTTATTACAGCCCAAGTTATATTGTTGTCTACCAGCAATAACTCACTTTCAGAATTCTCAGAAGAGCAAGTACCCACATTGCATGCAAATTGAGCCCAAAATGGATTCTAATGAGGCAATTCAAGGGAAACCACAATGGCTCAAGCAACAAAGTCGAACTTCATTTATGTGAAGATAGATTTGATTCCCTAATGATGTGTTTGATTTAAGGAAAAAGGCAAGGCGATGAGAGGAGAGTGGACTCTCGACCGAACCAGGACGATGGGAAAATAAGGAAGATGAAATGTTAGCTTTCTATCCCATCAGAAAAATCTTAACCAAACATACCCTCATTCTTAGTGTCTGTGCTTCTTCTCTCTTCTGGAGGATTCTCCGTCACCATCTTTTCCAGAACCATGATAAGATCGGCTGCTGGAGGGGGGTGATCCCCTCCTCCGATGCTTATGGTGCTTCGAGTCCCTTGATGATCGCTTCTTCTCTCTTTTGGACGTTTTGGACTTTCGGCCTCTATAAACCTCAGATGAATCACTATCCGAACTGTAACTAGATCTTCGTCTCCTATGGCGCTTCCGTTTATCATCCCTCTTATCCTCTGATGATGAACCACTGCTCCAACCACGATGCTGACTATCTTCAGTTCTTGTGTTCAAATCAGTCTGACCTTTTGGGGGAATATTTCTGTTTGTATGAGATGAGAGTAGGTTTGTAGCATTATGATCTGGGGAACATGTTTCCCTCCTATTAGATCGAGTGCCAGCCTCTTCTGTAATATGAAAATTAGTAGTAGTAGTAGTAGTCCTATCCTTGTCTGCAGTGGTGGGCTTGGTTTCTTGGAAAGGTGCAGCATCAGGGGGGACTTCAAGACCTAGCTCCTTACCTAATGATTCTAAAAAGTCACCGGCTATTAAACGGTTTAGAGTTGTATTAGCAGCATCCACCTTTTTAGGCTCCTCCACTGTGATCCGATCCATTGTTCCCTCATCATCAGAATCATCAGAAAATATAGCCTTCAAAAATAAAAAACAATCAAATTTTAGAGAAGAAATCCACTTTCGGTCCCATAATTATTGTTTTCTTCATCAGTGCACGAATATGGATTTTGCCACTTTTGGTCGTTCATCAAGGCAAAAATCAACCCAAAAATAGTATGAAAATTTTACGGATGTGTGGACCAAAGGTGACAAGAAGCTCATAGTTGTGCACCAACAATGGAAATATGGAGTTCCGGACCAAGAGTGAAATATTTTCTTTGGAGTAGAAATGCTAGTCTTAAATTAGAAATTAGAATGTGAAATAACAAAATAGCAAATGCAACAACAAAAGAGCTCATCATCTGATACTATCATATTTTTAATATATTACCTTGTATAAATCAACAGGCCTTTCAACATTTTCAACTTCTATATCAACCTCATCCTCTTCTCTAGAAGTTTCTCTTGTTTCATCTTTGGTGGCCTCAGGAACAGAAAGTCTCATACCATTAACACACTCCTTCACCTTTGTGCTTTTAACAGAATCTGTCATGAACACAAGAGAATCCATTTTGCTCCTTGCGCGTGGGGCTACTGGTGGCTGCAGAATATAATACTTAACTTGGTGCAATTTTTAGACAAGCACAGGACGACATGTTAACCAAGCAAATAGACCAGTTTAATAAATAATAAGAGTATCTAATTTAACAGCAGTTGGGCTAATTAAATATACAGTGACCAAAAATGTCCACGTATATCAGTATGATTCTTTAGTGTCTGTTTGGAATTCAGAAAATGCAAGGGGAAGAAATTAAGGACGAAAATAGAGAGGAAATTTGGAAGGAGAGAATGAAAAATTGCTTCGAACACAATGAACCAGTTTTGATTTTTTTTTACTATGCTTATTGTATTTAAATATTGAGCTGTGCTACGTGTACACTTTTTGGTGTACAGCTTTCATACACTCGTCTGTCTCACCCACACAGAGTGTACGAAAGGTGTACACAAAAAAAGAATACACCAAGCATTTTTCTTAAATATTTCTATGAAGCAAAGATAAAGAAAAGTAAATATATGTAAAAAAAATCAAACTTGATTTTTCCGTTATTGTTTCCCAAAGGTACTGTAGAGGTTAATTCAACATAAGATTTAGAACCCGTTTGGTAATACCAAAATCAGCTAATTCTGCTAAAATTTATGATATTCTGGCCGAAGTAGCTGAATTGGTTGATTCTGTTGATTTATTAAAAAATTATATTTAAAATATATTTAATTAATAAAATAAAGAAAAAGTTATATGTAAAAATCGCTAAAATGGTCCTCTACAATAATTTCAGTCAATACAGCCAGAAAAGTAACTCCAACCTTCCTTTTTCTTATGATTACGCAATTCAGCGCGCAAAATCAAAAATTACATGTTTGGTGAAAAAGTTAGTTGATAAGCCTAATAAGCCAAAAATAATTCTAGAAATAATTCATTCAATAAATTATACTCCCTCCGTCCCTTAAAACTTTGTCATCTTTCCTTTTTGGGACGTCCCAAAAAACTTTGTCACTTTCCCTTTTAATCAATTATTTTGTGGTATCTATTATTTCTCTCTCCTCTGCACAAATCTCAACCACACAGTTTTTACTTTATTATTTTTCATGCCGGTCAACTTTGGCAAAGTTTTAAGGGACGGAGGTAGTACGTAGTATATATAATGAAGTACAACTAATCAAAAATGGTGTTAGCTTGAGACCATTAATGGACTTTCTGGACTATTCTAGTGGTGGGGAAAGGCCGAAAGGGTGAAGAGGGCGAAGAGAAGAGCCCTCCACAAAATAGGAGGGAAACTCCTCTATTTATCATGCTTGTTACGGCGTCGCCTAGGCGCTGACTAGGCGTCCAGTCGCTGGAGAGGGGTCGCCAAGAGCCATCGCCTCGCCGGAAGAAGAATAGGCGACTATGGCGTCCTCCCGTTGTCGTTCGGTCGTCGGTTTGGCGATAAGGCGTTCGCCTTAGCGTATATAACAGAGTAATCTTTCGTAGTCCAAACTAAAGGCCCAGATTTAGTTTTTGGAAACAAAGTTTTAGACAACTAAAATAAAGCCCAAATCTTACTTGACCATTCGTAAACGGGTGATGCTCCGCACACCTCCAATACTACTGCGCGCACCCACTTTTTGTCAAATGTGGACAAGTTTGTCCTTACAAAACTCACGTTACTTCTAATGTGCCAGGCGCACACCTCCTACGTAATTACCGAGCATCTCCCATTCATATTGATTTTTAATTTTTGATTTTTAATTTTAATGGGCCTAATTGCCTTTTTAAAATAAAAAAATATTAATTCTAACGTTTCCTAAAAAATTGTGTAACATGTTTAAACTTGTATAGTGTAACGAATATTTTCAGTTGAACTCGTTTTAGTCTCATATTATGTTATACTATATACAACTTAGATATTAGTAACACATGTACAAGACTAGATCAAATCAGACAAATTGCGTCCACAATTGCATGGACTGACAGCTGCTTCATAACAAAGAAGCGCAGAGAGTTTAGTGAGCCATTTTGCTTTATTCCATCATAATCTCAAGCCAAAAAACAATGAATCTTTGACTTCATTGCAAATGATGAAAAAAATTAGACTAAAAATACTACTCCGTACATAGTAAATAAACATTAATCGGCGTACAATAGACTTGACCAAATGTTTTTTTTAATTTTTACATATATGATATTGGTGTCATATGGAAGATCATAAAAAATTATTTATTTTGATATAATTTTTATAAAAAAAGAGCAAAATAGGAAAAGTTATAACATTTTATAAAAAAAGGAAAATTGGCCACATGGCAGCAAGTTATTGGAGGAGAGTAAATGTCAAATTGTTAGGCTTTGTGATCCTACGAGACTTCCTAAAAAAATTTAGGAAACAATAAGGTCCATTAAAATTAAAAATTAATATCAATGAGGGGAGATACGTGGTGCGCCTAAGGATAAACTTGTCCACATTTGACAAAAGGTGGTGCGCAGAGCAATGTTGGAGGCGCGCGGAGCAGGGGCATTCGTAAACTCAACCTTCGTCCCATACATCTCCCGTCGCAGCCTCGCAGGAAAGAAGTAGAGCATCCGACATCTCCTAGGTTTTATGGGTTAATCCGGTGCTTTTTTTATTTTTAGTTACTTGTTCTTTCTGTTTCTTCTAGCAGTAGAACACCCGCAACTGAGAATTGTGCGAGCTTATTTTTTCTTCTAGTGTACCTTACTACCTTATCTAATACTGCAAGTGGACAAGTGTGCTTTTTTGGCAGTGGGAAGTGGTCTAGTGGGATTCAAAGTACATCTTATACTGTGTATTTTTTTTATAATAAATTATTAATATACTTCGTATATAGCAGATCTTTTTATAAAAATGAAGGTTCTTCTTTGTTAAGTTTCATAAACATATTTTTATAGCAGTTTATTAGTATATTAATATATTTAGATTTTAGATTGAATAATATAGTAAATAATGTGCACTTATGATATATAATACGGAGTAAGTTACAAATTAAATATAATTAAAATATTTAATAGAATATTATATATAATTATATATATAATTATGTATATAATTATATATATTATATTATAAATTTATATAATGTGCGACTAGTCGCCTAATCGTCGCCTATGCGATATGGCGGTCGGCTGGCGCCGCGACTCGCCTTACCGCCGTGACAAGTATGCTATTTATAGGAAAAGAAAGGGGTATATTTCTACCCTAATGGGCCTCAATAATTAGCTACCAAGCAGGCTACACAGTGGCCTAGCTATCGGGCCTTGTACTCTTGTAGTCTTCAGGCTACTGGGAACTGCTAATGGTCTGGGATTCATTATCCCAATAGGTACAAAACCAAACATGAAGCCATTTCTCTTGGCAATTTCCCCTTTTCCTACCCCTCCCAGGTTCCGAAGCATAGGGACATAGCCTTAAAAGATCAACCCAAAGTTCTAGCGGAAATGTGTTTTAGGTTCTTTGTACAAAATATAATATAAACGGGGAAATATAATCCATTATGTTTTGTCCTTTGAGCCAAATCTAAGAAGTTCCCTAAAATATTCCATTATGTTTAGATTCTTTGAGCCAAAAATGTAATCAACTTCATAAAATAACCTAGTGTTTTGTTCCTCCATAGCCTGTGCACATGACAATGATATATGGGGAGTGTTACTTGTTTTTTTTTTACACAAAGAGTAATATATAATACATGAACAAGACAAAGAAGACATTGTTACCTTGCCCATGCAGGGGTCAGTTAGATCAAAACGCTTGCAAAGAATAGGAGAAGGTCGCCATTGAAACTCTTCCCTTTTAGGATACACTTTCTTTTTAGCCAAGTCTTCACTGAGATCGTGTTGAGTGTTCTGTCACAGAAATGAGATGTTAAGAATCGCGAGTTTGAACTGTAAGAATCCATTTGGAACTCAGAAAATGGTAAGGAAAGAAAATAGGGAGGAAAATGTAGGTGAAACTTTGAAGATAAGAATGTAGGAAAATGTGTGTGAGGGTTATTTAATAACGTGAAGATAAGTATTTAAGCACATGTAAAACAAATTAAAACATTAATCAAATTCCATGTTCCTTTGCATTTTATGAGGTAAAACCAAACACAACAAAATAACTTCCCTTAGCATTTTTTTCCTTTCCGCATTTTCTGACATCTAAACGTACCCTAAATGGCTAAATGTTTACTCTAGCAAGCTAAGTACTTCCATATATACCTCAACTGTGCTATAAGTGAATCTTGATGCGGCTATAGCTATCGTGTCTGAGAACTCATTCGAGGATTTGCTTTCTTTCCCCCACTTACCTTTCTGTATAGCCTCAGCGACAGCCTCAAATTCTAACCTTTCCCGAGCACGGGCTGCCTCTGACATTGTACTAGATCCTCCTGAATCTTTAGGGCGAAGACCTCCTTGATATTTCTCCTTCAAGAAGTTTTCAAATCTTTCTTGTTTTTCTGGATCATATCGGAAAGGCTTTCTAGCTTCAGGCACCTCATCCTAGAAATGGTATATTAAGAATCAATTGTCTAGAACATAACATTTTGCAAATGTACTATCTAGTTCCTTTTTTTAGGAAAGTGGAGTTGAAGTGTTGAACCATATTTTTTCCGCATAAAGGGAAATAAGAGGGTTATGTAGGAAATAAGAACTCTTTCATGTTTATTTTGATGAAAACATTTTAGGAATTCCAAGAAGGAACAGTTTATGGCCTTTTAGGTGCTCATTTAATCAAGCACTGTCTACGGAATATTAATAAGCCGAGCCCATTCATTTCCACTTAAGAGCAAGCCAGCAACTTACAACAATTAAACAATTCTGGGAAGTGACCAAGTGAGAAAGTTTCAATACGTAATGTACATAACTTGAGTCTTCATATTTGAAATAAATAAAATGTCGGTTTCTGATGCGATTTAAAGGATAAACAATGGATAAAGCAAGCTATTGGTAAAAAAGAGCATGTCCATGTTGCTAACCCTTAAGCTTTATTGTGAAGCCAGTTCAATCATACAATGTAACAAGATCTCAACATATGTATTCAACCGTCGTTCATAAGAAAAGAAGATTGTGACAGATTGGGCATCCGGTGTAAAATTTTGCCACTAATTTTTGTTTTGCATGAAAATAAGGTGAAATTAACTTTTCTTTAATAACTGCACTATGAATTTCATGCCACCAACCCCCAACAAATTATAATTATCTTGAATTGACCTATCAAATTACAATACTCTGAGTTCGGATTTAGTTGGATTTTAATAATATAGATATCTCATCTTCTTAATCATGTGAAAGGAGATACTTTGTTCCTCCAAATGAGCGACCTGATCAAAGGGAAAAGCAAACCCCTCTTCGTCTAATTTTTGTCCAACTATGGTTCCCCTCCATGTTAGAAAGGTGTTATGATGTCAAAGTGTCATATTAGCACGTTACTTGGTAATTGTTGGTAACTTATTATTTGCCTTGATTGCACATTAATGCAGTGTAGGTTTAAACGTGAACTTTTTTATTCAAGGTTAACTTTTTTCTAGTTAAACAGGACTATTTGACCCTTGTCCTAGGGGCTTATAAACCTACTAAGTTCTTCCCAATAGACATAAATGTGTATTATTTGACAACAAAAAGGTGATGGCATTCTGCTACACTATCAAATGAATTTAGTGTAAGATTCTAGCAGCTGGGCACACAGCAATAGAAATTTGAAGTACTCACCATCGATGAGGACGAGGTAAATGTTTCCATGAGACTGGACTGGAAACTGACAGCATCAGGAGTTACAATACAGCTTGCCTCTCTCAAAGTTCTTTCTAGAGGCTTCTCTCCTAAAATGTTTCCACGGCTCTCTGCTGTCAATTTCTGTGAATTTTGATGCAACTTGACTTCCAAATGCTTTCCCGGTTGATTTTTTTGCTTCTGTCTCGCCTCCCAAAGCTTTCTTATATAGTACCCATGTCCACTCCCTCCAGTAAGAAAGCCAAACAAAGGGTTTGACTGGTTCTTTTCTCGAGAAAGATCCTCAAATAGCTTACCAGCACGAGCTACCAAACTCGCTAACCCCTCAATTAAGAGTCTTTGGTTCTTATCCTCTGGAGGCGGAACCTCCGGGGGTGGAGGTTCGGCAACTCTATTTCCCACTTCAAGGGGAACTGTGAACTTGTGAAAGGGGACATAATCTTTTGGGACCACTGGAGGAACAAATCTGTAACATTTTGTTCATACAATCTTTTAGCACCATGTATATGGAATGCATGAGAGTTTTGTGTCTGAAGTCTGAACACAATTATGGAGCCACAAATCTCACAACACAAAACCAACATCTGAAGATTTTTTTTAAGTAGAACTAGAGCTTAGAATAATGTTCTTACTCTTTCAAAACAGAAATCGGTCTGCGCTTGCAAAATATTGAGAGTTGAGCCTAGGGGTGTCTTTATCTCCAATGTTCTTTTTATATCTTTATCTTTATAAGCAATTTACATTGTAGCACATCTTACTTAGGCTAAAAGCCATCAATATTGCAAGAGCTTTTGGGCTTGGAGACTAGAAGATACAAATACCTATAGATATTAGCAGTAGCACTGACAACACTTTTATGTTCGATTTCTGAGATTTGAACTATTTACTTGCACTGAAGTTGCACACAAATATTCAATATCATGTAAGTGGTACGATGACTTTTAAGACAGTAGAATCAGGCTCCCAATGAACTTCTTGTTCTCTTAATGAAGTTAGATGGGTTTACCTTTCTAACTGATACTCAGAATTTGAGGCAGCCTTAAACCCAGGTAGAGCATCGTGTTTTTTATCATCCAACATCTTAACCTTCTCCACGGTAGGTATTACAGGGTCTTCAACATCCTCAACATATGAGCCTTCTATTTCAAAACCTGATCAAAAGATTTAATTAGACAAAATAACTCTCTCGATGAGAACATGATACCACTCCTGGAAAATTGAACAGGAAGAGAAGCACATAAAATCATAAATTCTCAAGCTGAACATACTTGTACTCATACTCACATGATATAGCAAAGCAAGATAGATGATCAAATGGAACAGCCATTTAGTTCAACCTCTAGTACAAGTTTAAGAAAGATGATGTGCATTAATGGGGCTATCTAATAAAATTAACACTTTGAGCACATTAATCTACTTGGACATGGACTCAAAACGTATTTAAGTACACAACAATGCACAAACTATATTTCAAGAAAAGTTTTTTCCATGTAGGGATAATAACAATTATTTCCATCATTTGCAATGGAGCCAAAGATTCACTATTTTTTGGCTTGGGAATATGATGGAATAAAGCAAAATGGCTCACTAAACTGGCTGCGCTTCTTTGTTATGAAGCAGCGGTCAATTCATGCAATTTTTGACACGATTTTCACCATGGGTCATCCGGAAAGAGTCTCTCTGTGTTAAACAGACTGCGTACATCCGACCCCCCTTACCCCACTGTAGGTGGGAGCCTTTGTGGCACTGGGGTGATGATGATGATGAGGGATAATAACAATTCATATCAAACACAAGATGTACACCATATGAACCCCCAGTCACCACACTAGCCAATGACATTTTCAATGAACAAATAATGGCAACCATTCAGTATTCAATAACTCCATTTTATAAAACACTGTAAAATTGCATTACGTATATAAAACAAAAATGTTTTTAGGGCTCAAAGACCTACTACCTAACCTATCAAAAGTATACATATTGCACCCACTACGGCACTACCTATACATCCTAGTTAAACACCCCATTTCATCATACTTCAATGAAGAAGTTGATACTTGCTACCAATCTACCGAATAGTCTTATTTTAAGTGCCTCATGTGACTGGCTAACATTATGTAGCAATATGTAGCCCTATAAATATGTGCAAAGACTAATACTCAACTAATCATTGAAAACAGTTAAATGACAATGGTAGTATGGTACTCCGTAACAAAACCAAGTATCTTCCAAGAAGGGTTTACCATATAGGAAACATATAGGAAACCGTAAACACCACTGATAGGCACTCGGATGAGCAGCCTATTGAGTTCTTTAAAAGAGTCTATCACAGGAGGAATAAACGAGTAGTTAGTTAGTTAACTAATTAGTTAGCTAGCAGTTTGACATCCCTGCATGGATGAAGGCTATAAATAGAAGGCTAATAGCTAGAAGGAGTAAGCTGTTATTTCTGTTGGCTTTAGATTTGGAGACTGGGCATCTCGAATTGTCTATACACTGTATTCCTTCTGTACATTTCATCTCTGAGAATAAGACTTCTTGATCAGTTTCTTGATCAATTCTCCCTAATTTCCTAAGTCCCTAATTCCCTGAAGAAAGGACTAAAGAAGTTAGAGTTGTCTGCCAGCAACTGGAATAAGGAACTTTCAAAAGGGGTTCACCACACAGGGGATAGACACATTGGGAAAGATATACCCACAAAATCCTTAAGAAAGGAGCAAAGAAGGTAGTGCTTTCTGCCAAGTGCCAACAATAAAGAAGGTAGTGCTGTCTGCCAACAATTGGTACTCTGGCTTACACCCATGTCAAGACACTGAAGATGAATAAACCAACCTGAAGCATACACGTCTTCATCTTCAACATCCAACTCCTCAAGAGCCCCAATTCCAAAGCCAGGTGCAACCTTTCCAGCTGACAAATTAAAGATAACAAGTTAAAGAGGCAAGAAAAAAGGGAGGTACATACAAGCACATAAATACAAATGAGAAACATACATTTAAAACCAAATAGACTATCCTTTGACGGGAGAGACCCTTGATGCCTCATGCCTTTGTTTCCAGATATGCGTGATCTCTTATTTTCTAATGATAAAGCAATGCAACATAAATGTTGACAAAATATAAACCAATGAGTATTAGCTAAGAAAAAAGTTATTCTGAAAACAAAAGAAATACCTCTAAATTCAGGAGCATGTTTGTACGGATCATACCCTAAGCCATAAAGGTCTTGTTTCGGATTAAGGACGAAATCCTACACAAAAAGAAAAGAAGTGGGAGTGGAAGAGGACAGCCATAAGTATATAATCAAACACATAAATGTGTGTGTTGGTGGGTGGAAGGTGGTATGCAACTGTGAAATGCATGATTTAAATCTAAGTAGCATAACTATTTCAGTCTCGTATAAATAATGAATCCTCTACATTAAAAATGAGAAGACATGCATTCAAGTTTTCAGCACAGTCCTTGTTCATGAAAATAAGGAACTTATTGTTTCACTTTTTCATCATAGTTGTATTGAAAGAGAAGGTTAAATTCTTCAAGCTAGCCGTTGGATAAGAAATCATGGAAGGCTAAAAAGAAGCTGTGGGGCCAGAGGTTGGTAATCAGCTAGTGGTAGGGATTTCCTTTATCCACAAAAAATAAGACTAATGTTACTGAGTACCAATTATAATCCAACCATATACATCGAATAGAGGAGAAATAAAAGTTGAAAGGGGAACATAGGAATGAAAAAATAATGCAAGAAAAAGGGGTAGGCGCACCGGTGTACTTTTAAAAAACTGACTATCATCTTCAGCTGGCAGATCAGGGAGATGAATACAATTCTCGAACTGTTCAAATTCCACAGGTTGATCTTTTGTGTCATCAGAGGAAAGTGTCAAAAAGGCTTTTCTGGCTTCTCTGCGAGCCTCTGAAGAAAGTACCAAAAGTGAGACAAGTTGCTTAGAATAGTTAATTCAGAGCAACACCAATTATCGCTTATTAGAAGTTGAGTGACTGAGTCTGAAATTCTGAATAGAATGGAACCAATTTCACAAATCAATTCCATATGGAAAACAAAATAAGACCTCAATAACACAGGAAGTGTTTTTTCTTTTTGAGAAAATGGCGGAAAGATTTTAATTACCTTTTTTCTTTTTACATTGTGCACGCATGTGCAAGTGTTTGGGAGTGGGACAAATTTATAGGATAATATCCAAAACCATTAAATAGAAGTAGGGTCTAGGAGAGAATTAAATTATATCCATAGTTCTTATCTCAACTACCAAAAAAATGTGACCTCACACTGCCGAAAGAAAGTCCAAAACAGAAAAATAGTACTCCATTCGTCTCAAACTAACTATTGTCTTAGCCCAAATAACTTTGTCCCAAAATAGATGTCGTCGTTTCACTAATCTTTCAAAGTTGCAAAGATTAACTGCTATTAAACTGAACAATTTTTATTTCAAAAATTGGAAATAAATATTGACATTTGACAACTATGAATGGGGAACCCAATTATCAAGGAAGGGCCAAGTTTGCGAACAAGTGCAACACATAGAGGTAACACATACCATACAGTGAATCAGCATTTGAGGCCTTGATTGAACGACCACGCCGCCATCCCATCTTCAGCAGTAATTTTGCTCCTGGTCGAGAGTAGAAACTTGCAAATATAAGATGAACCACACACCCAAAGACATGTACAGACTACAGACCAGGCAATAGAAGGGTCATAGAAGATGAATAGAGTCCACAATCCAACTGAAACATATTTACATACCAATTGACTCAGTTGCAGAGATTAATAGCTCATCAGGAACAGGTCCAGGAATAGCTGATGGCCTGCTACACATGATTTGAACTTCAGACAAATAATTTTCCGTGAATTAAATAATAGTTAAGAGCTCTACAGAATAAGATGGTAGCAACTAGCAAGTTCTGCAACACCGCAAATTCATGAAAGCAGCCCTTCATATGCCAAAAGCGGAGAAACATGAACTCTGATTTTTAGCCTGTGACAGTAGCTACATGTAACACAATAAAGTGAGAGCATGTTATGTTAGGAGAATCTTCCATTTGTCAACTACATTTTCACAATTTTCAATTTATTGATTTTCCTTTTCCATCTCAAAAATGTGGTCCCACTTAAGTAAATAGAGATGAAAAAGGGGGGAAGAGAGAGACTGGCTTATAGAAACACAAATGAATCCATCCTGGAAACAATTTACCTCCTTCCAAACTTCTATTCATTTTTATTTCTCTCATCTATTCATTTTTCATTCATTTTCGTTTCCAAATAAACTCCGCCATGAGATCATTTTTTGTATCATGCTTGTCTCAAGCCAACATAAAGGAGGAGGAGGATGTGATAGGCGTGTGACAGCCAACAGTATCACTTAGTCAAATTACATTACATGGATCAAAATATAAATATTGCTACAGCTAGATCGTCGCTCATAAGCGACATGTCATCCCTCTGCCTGAGGTGGTGTCAAATATGCAAGGGTGCGCTTCACTTCATAGGCCTAGGCGCACTACAGTTCATAGGTCTGAGTGTAGTAATAAGAATGCTAAGGTTACAAGATCGTTGCATGGAAGCGGTGCGCCTCCTCATTGCTCAGGGATGGTGTCAAATATGCAAGGGCCTGGTAGGGTTGATAGGCTTGGTTGCGGTGATAAGAATGCTAAGGTTGCTAGGTCATTTCCTGGAAGCAGCGCGCCTCCTCATTGCTCGGGGATGGTGTCGAATATGCAAGAACATGTTGCGCTGGATGTGTGGACAAACTAGAAAAGACAACTTGAGTAATGAGACAATCAGATAAAAAATGGGAATAGCCCCTATTGAAGATAATATGTGGGAGTTTCAATTGTGGTGGTTTGGTTCTGTGTGTAGAAGACCGAGTGATGCACCTCTTAGACGAGCTAAGCGGTGTGGAGAAGAGACGGGGAGGAGAGGGAGAGGATGACCCAAATAGAGGTGGCTTAGAGGAATCAGGAGTTATATGTTTCTTCTTGGATTGGCTTTCGTATGGCAGATTGATCTCTTATCATCTTTTTTTTCGTTTAACGGTTTATCCTTTTGATCTTTGTTATGTTTTTTATCTTTTTATTATCTCTATTTTCTCTTATCTTTTTTTATTATCTTTTTTATCATATTTTATCATTGCATCATGTTAGTCGGCCCCAAAATCTTTGGGTCTAAGGCTTGGATGTTGTTATTGTTTTTTTCATTTCCATTAACCAAGTGAGCACATTCTTCATTTTTTTCCTTTTGCAAGTGCACATACCCTGAATTTTGAATGAAAAAAATCCGCAATGGTGTACATATTTTATCAAATCACACTTCACAAAAATAGAAAATAGACTTCACAAAAAACAACACGGATTAAAACCCATGAGCAAATAACACGTTCAAAACCTAAACTAAATTCCTATGCGGTGCATACAATAATAACTTGTTGAGTTACAAGTGATGGCTGACCAGCTATACATATCAAAGAGCTTTCTTTTTATGGATATGTACACTCCGAGTTCCAACAAAGTCCCAACAATTGAAGATATAGACATGTGCACAAACACAGCCATAATTATATACATATGTTTATGCACATGCATGTACATATCAACATGGATGTATGTGAGAGTGTGTGAGAAGAGATAGCATATTAGTACACTACCTCTGGTTTTGATCCTTCTCAGCTTGTTTGCGAGCAAGTTCAGATGCAGTAAATCCAAATGTATCATACTCTGATGATGTCTCCAGGCGACCTTGCATTTCCTACCAAATTATTTATATTTAGATATGGATTCAGTTAACATGATTCAGATATACAGAGATGCTAAAAAGGAGAGCTTACATCTTTCTCATCATCATCCAAAAAGTTATAAATGCTTTGCTGCTTGAACTCTGCTCTACTTTTCCGAGATGATGAAAATGACTGTGGGGTCCATCCTGTTACAAGGTAGTAATTTACAAAAAAAGAGAGGGAAACACTGCTTTATAAGAACTAAACTAAATAGAGCATGTTGTTATTTCCCAATAATTAAATTCTCATGAAAGTGAATCCATGGGAAGTGTAAATTTCATGGGGAAAAATAAATTCACCCTTGGGATGGAAGTTCTTTCCTGGATCCTAATTTCAAGGAGTTTGACCCAAACATTCAAAAGTTAAGGGAACACTAAACATGTTAATCATGTTGCCGCCTTTAAAATTCCCAGAAAAGTTCATACTTCTATACTTCAATATGCATCAAACGCCCTCCAATTGTAAAAAAAACTACCTTCTTTTGATCCAGCTGTATTGTAATATCCTGCAGAAAAGCCGCCAGTAAATGCACCATGAAATCTTCTTCTGCCCTCTTCATCTCTGACCTGGAACTCAGAATCTTTTAGCATAAACAACATTAACTACCTATGAAGCCGATTAGGCCAACACTCTTGTTCATTTCTAAATATAAGGTGTGCGAGCATGTGGAGAGTAACTAATATAGTAGCCTCAAAGGAACTAACAAAACGACCCAAAAAAATCATCTATAAATGTAGAAAAATACATGAAGAGAGTTGAGTTAAACAAAAAGGTGAAGCAGCCATATTAATACATGGAAACATGCTTGAAAACTATATTAAAAGCTCAGAAGCTACAAGTTTCTTTAAACACATAAACATATCATTCAATTCATAGAAAAACATTCATTTCAAACAGCACTCGATCTTCAGACACACTGTATTATTAGGCCACATGACCATCAGTGGCTGCATTGAGATTGTTACTCCACAATACATGAATGAGAAATATTTGAAGGAGCGATTTATTCTACCGAAAAACCCAAATTAACTATCAATGTTGTAACAAAATGAGCTCTCCCAATGCGAAATTTCACAAGCACGTTCTTCTACTCGTAACGAGACTGTAGACCCCTTTGTTTGGTTCAGTAAATATGCAGTTTATATGAATAATCTAACAGGCTTTACCTCTTGCTTCCAAGCTGGAAGGGTGCGCAATTGTCCGGAGGCCTCAGCGACGGCCTTCTGCTTCCGGCTGATAGCGTCTTCCTCTCTCTCTATCGGTGTTCCGAAGAAGACGAAATGCTCCTCGTCTCTGTCCATTCCCAACCCCTAACTGATCAATATCTCCTTTATTTAGCTTCAAAAGCTGAGTCGAAATCTCTCAAACATGATAGGCAATTTCATTCTAATACCTCATTTGTGAGTTTCGGCCTTTGTCACACTTTCCCGAAACAGACGTGTGAAAATGTTTATTCTACTTTTTAAACTTTCTTATTTGGTAAACAAATCTATACCAAAAATTGTCAAACAATGCAAAACAATGTCAAACAGTGACGCTACAGTGTAAAGTCAAATTCATCTTCTTAAAACTTGTGAAGTCAAACTATGACAAACTTTAAGGGACGGAGGGAGTATTAGAAATTTAGAACTAACTCAAAATCACTTATTTAATCGATTATAACATTTGTTGATAATGTATATTCTTATTTATTGAGTATGTCTTACTATCGTATTTTTTAACTAATTATCTAAACATGTTGTTAGTCTATAAACATTCATTGACTGATAACATATTTAGATAATTAGTTGAAAAATAAGACATACTCGATAAATAAGAATATACATCCAAAATTAGATTGTCTCTTGTTTGACAAGAACAAGAAAGCATCTCATCCGGTTTGGTGTGGAACTCATCCAAATTAGATTGTCTTTACTAGTATTTTACAAATAAACATGTCCATATTTTATCAAATGTTAATTTATAAGTCAGTGTTGTACCTATAATGATCTAATTTCTTGTGATTACAAAGAGTGTCTAAATATCAAATTAGGAATTTCCTCCTAGACAATTTTTAATGGCAAATTTTGAAAATGGTGAAGTCTAGTAGTGAAGTTCACTTTTGAGTGGTTCTAGTTCATCTAAGTTGATTTGTTTCAATTTTGATTAATTTCGATTGAATGAAATTTACTCACTTTTTTAATTTAAAGGCATAAACCGAACTACCTAGAGTGAGGTCAGTTTGGGTCATTTTTTTATTCAGTTTGACATCTGATGGAAAGATCTTTAGTATGGACAAATTTTATTAATTACCTGACCAAATTTGTGAGATCGAATAAAATTACGGTATTAAGCAGAGACAACGAAAAAATATGAACGTCGTCACATGGGACCATCACAATTTAGCTTTGTTGTTGATCGTTATTTTTTTATACTTTTGATCTGAAATTTGATGGTCCACCAAATTAAAGTAAAACTCAAATTAGCAATGATGGTCCCATAAAATTTTTAGAACATACTCAAAAAATCTCATCAAAAAGTTCTACCCGGAATCACCTCAAAAGGAGGTGGCCAGACGGCGCTTCGACCAATCCGGGTAGTTGTTATTTTACTAATTTAGTCTAATTTTATATTTATTGTTTGTTTGTGATTGTATTAGTTATTTGAGTTCACCTAAAAGGAATTAATATTCTTCTTATTACGTTGTTATTTTTTTGTTACGTTGTTATTTGTTCATAGTAAATTACTAATATTACCGGTCAGTTTTTTTACAGGAAACTAACATATTATATGAAAATCAAACTCACAGTACAATAAGGTAAAATGCAAACAATCAAGTAAACCCCTCTATCCCAATATGACCAAGAGCCCAGCGACCCCCTCATTTCTAGATCAGACATAAAATAATCCACCCCGAAAGGAGCGAGACTAATCACTGAAAATGTGAGAGCTTCGAGACTATTAGCGGCTGAATCAACCTGATTGCCTCCAAAAAATAATCTATCAATTAAAACAAAACAAAGCATCATTCTACCCCCTTATTGTTTATTTATCCTAAAAAGAGCAAAATAGAAATAGTAAAATAGTTTGGACTGAAAATAAAAAAGTAGAAATAGTAAAGCAGCCTTCCAAACCCTAGTCGCATAGTTCATCCATGGCGAAGGTTCAGGAGGGGGACGGGTTTTCATCCCTTCATCATCTTCCTTCGTCACTTTGATTTGCCCGTGAATCGCCTCCTTCTCTTGATCAAGATATTGCACGAACAAAACCGATCCGAGAGCGAGTAGTCTCCACACCCCTGCTGCCAATACGCGAAAGTAATTGAATCTCTACTATTCAGTCCCAATCTGAGGTAGATGCCCTCCTTCCGTCTAATTTGGTGCTCGCTGCTGGAAGTCTAAAAAGTAAACTCACGTCGCCGGAAATCCCAACGCCGCTGTTCTCCAACGAAGCAATCCTCGATCGATTAAAATCGCCTTGAAAAGAAAACGACCCACTCGAATTTGGATTTAGTCTGCGCTGCTCCAACCCTTCCAACGTCAAAATTGGATTTAGAGAAATCGAATTTGGATTGCGGAATCCGTCCCTACCTTCCAACGTCGAGCGAAAGTACTCGCCGACCCCAAACTTAACGCATACGCAGGTCAAACCCTAGCTGCGGCGAGAGCTCGTCGGGTTAAAAAAACCTAGGCAAAATGTGGCCACAGTCCATTGTTCTTCCACTTTTTTACCGGTCAGTTTATTATTAAGTACTTTTTACTTATGATGCTTTAAAAAGGTATAAGAACATTATTTTGGGGTTGAACTACCTGCTATTGGATGTGTACCTTGGAGCTATTAAACGTTTTTGCTTGGCACTGTTAAACGTTTTTGCTTGGCACTTGCCAGTTGATGCCTTTTAAAACTTTTATGTTCTTGTTATGTTTAACTTTAATGTTTCTTTCAAAAAAAACTTTAATGTTACACTTGGATATTTTTGTGATATCTGATCATTGGGGTATCATGTATTTATAATGTAATGGTCATAATTTCTACAATTATTTTTATGATTTGAAATTTTATTTTTTTATGTAATTGAAAGTAAAATGTGTTCAATTTAGGAGGATAATAAATTTGTATAAGGAATCGAAAAAAGGTAAGAACTGAACCGAACTTAACTAGAAACGAAATGAATCTAACAACTACATATTTTTACTGGAACCGAACCAAATTTAACGCCTATAATTTTTAATATGGTTTCGTCGAATTTTAATCAGAATCGACTTTTGAGTTTTGAATCCACTTTGATATCTACTAAAATAAATGTGGTCTATGATATCAATCCAGGGGTTATTTTGCCAAAAAAAAAAATCATTCAGGGGTTATCTTTCAGCTTTGATATTTCATTTACTCAGAGTTGTTTTTGAGAATTATTAACTACACAGTATCAAGTTTAAGTACTCCAAATCCTAATTTTCAAATATGAAAATCATTTGACTTAAATGAGACGACATAAATTTATTGACATGTGTGATATTGTGATGTCTCAACACCAATTTGGAACAGATGTCGGTTTTGTAGTTATGGCTTACATATTAGGAGCAAAACCACCAAAAGTCGTACATAACAATTTTTAATTATATTTGAATCTAATCAACATAAAAAAACTTAAATTTTCACGAGAAATATAATCGTTTAACTCATCAAAAACTAATATAGAAATATAGTCGTTTAACTCATCAAAAGCTAATATAGAAATATAGCCGTTTAACTGATAAAAAACTAATATAGAAATATAGTCGTTTAACTTACCATAATCTTTATTTGATAGTTTGATGCTAGTTATTGATGTCACAAATGATTGATTTCTAAACGAAAAGTGGCTTTGATCCATATATATACAGTGTTTGTTATTGCGGAATAATGGAACAGAATGCCCTCACAGGAGCCCTGACAGATGTATATATAATAAATAAATGTCAATAATGCCAATGAGTTGAACTAAGCCTAATATAACTATTAGCTATACGCTCAAATAGTTGTTGTTATTGAAAATTATTTTCAAGCTAATGGTGAAAACTGACTAATGATTAATTTTTTTCAAACTTAGGATGCCCTCACATGAGCTCTGACTAATGATTTATGGCGATTACAACATATTGGTGAAAACTGCGATTAAAAAAAGGAAAAACTATCAAATAGCCCCTTATACTATATCAAAAACCACAATTAGGCACTCGTACTAAAAAAACATCCTATTGAACCCTCAAAATTAAAGAAAAACCAGTCAGTTGCCTACAAGTATTCCGGTCACCGCAAAGTTTTCCTTTTTTCTTTCTGTTCATTTTTAATATGGAGTACATAATACTCCGTACCTTTCTTCCTTCTGTAAACCTTCCTTCAACCTTCCTTACTCCCTATATAACAGAGAAGACTTACGCCCCCCCCCCCCCCTCACGTAGGCTTTCAGGCGAAGACATGAGCTTAGCGTCACGACTCACGACATGGAGAAGCTCTAGAAGCGTTACCCCATTGAAGAAGCAAATACTCCTCTCATATCTGCCAAAAGCTTCTTCTCAATTCTCCAACAAATTCTTCTTCAAGGACATGGATTCAAGGTATCAAATCCTAATAGCTATGCCACTTGAGTCCCAAATGGCACCAGACTCGATTTGGATGTTGAATTGCAAGCAGCAAGAAATGATGTTGTTCATGCCCCTGCTCTTCCTTAAAGAAAGACAATCCCCATTAAAAGTTAAAAACCTATTTAATGGGATTCCACTCCTCCTTTGTTCAAACAAAGGAGAAGCAAGAATTGTTGGAGATTTATTGAAAAATAAAGCTCAATTGTTAACTTATATGGTCCTTAAACATTTTATAAAGTGTTTTATTTTATTAAAATGATGTTATATGTATATTTTAATATTATTACTATATATTATGAGTTCCACTGAGTGCACACATACGTTTGCACTTATGTGCACATAATTATGGTCTCATAATTATATTAATAATAGTGTTACTATATGTTTGCACTTATGTGCTTATTTCACGCATTGAGTTTTGTGCCGCATAATAACTGCCCAAGGGTGTAGACTCTTTTATTAAATTAATTTTCTTTATATTAAGAAATGTTTGTGTTTGTTGAAGTTAAGTCCCGTAGATCCGAAAGTCCAACACAAACTTTGGATATTTCAGGAAATGGATTATAAATCAAGTGTATAAGGAAATATAAAAGCTGAAAAATAATAATGCTCAAGAGCCCACTTGTATTAGTCAATTTACTGATTACACAGAGACTTCCCGAATGATACGTCGGAATAGTGTACAGTGTAGTTAGTCTTTTTTCGCATTTCAAGGAAAATCTCTCTTTAATGTGTTTGTGGGTTGGCTAATTGGCTTCATGATTGGATATTAGACAAAAGCTAAGACCATACTTGCATACTTGTG